TAGGATTATAAATCTCCAAAACTAAATTAAATCTACTTGGTTCACGTTTGGATCCGTTTTCCGTAGTTTTGAGAAGCACTTCGATCCAATGAAAGTCACAAAATTTAGTTTTCTTGAGGTTTCTTTCTCTCTAAAATGGGTTATTGTGGGTTTAGGTTTGAAATGAACCTAAAACCCATCATTCCAACCCTTTATATTTAAAAAAAAGTCAACATAACTTAAAAAAAAATAATTTTGGCCCTTAAGCGGGGCGCAGGCCTTGGGCGGTCGCCCAGGGTTGGGTGCTGGCCGCCTGCCTAGGCGGGTTCTGTACCGCCTAGGCGGCCGCCCAGGGTCGGCCGCCCAGTTTGGCCTCCTAGGCGCTGGGCGGTCCTTTTTTTGAATCACTAAACCTTGCTGAAGCCCCTTTTAGATCTTATATCTCTAATTGGACACTGAGCCAGTTGTTAATGGGCCTAGACCCTTCTGGTTTGAAAATATGTTGCTAAATGACCCACACATCATCATTTGAACCCTAGCTGGTGGTCCTTTTCCATAGTGCACGGTTGTGTGACCTTAACACAAGGTAAAATGCTTTAACTGATGAAAGAAAAATTCAGGGTGGTGACACTCCCACCTAGGGAAGTTTGAGGGTAGAAAATGAGCTCTATTAAGAGTCATGACGAGCTGGATCTGCTAGAGGACACCAGAGACCTGGTGCAACTAGAAACAATAAGGAGACTTATGGACTGAGTCGAACATCAGGCTATCTTAAAGAAATAGGAGGTATATTGACACTAGGGATCAAACTCATATGGCTAAAAGAGGAATGTAAAATTTGACCTTTTCCATTGAATAGCGAACAACTGTAGGAGAACAAACACATTGCTCCTGGTGAATAGGGACACAAAACTTTTGAGGGGCCACATGCTCTCAGTAGGCTATAACCAATGATTTCAAAAACTATTCTTTGCACCCGATCTGAACATGCTAAAGATGGCCAAGGTCCCCCTTCCTTCTTTGCAAAGAGGTGGCAAAGTGGTTAGAAAAACTTCTCTTAATGGAGGAAATCTTCAAGGTAGTGACCAAGTTCGGGCAAGCAAGGTCCTTGGTATGGACGAGTTTCCTATTGCCCTGCTCTTGGCCTTCTGGGACATGATGGCTTGGATCTCCTAGAGCTTTTGACTGAGTTTTATAGTAGGTTCATTGTAAACAAAGGTCTCAGTTCTACCTTCATCATGCTGTTCCCCAAGTGGTATGGTCCAAAGAATATTTGAGGCCCATAAGCTTGTTTAACAACCCCTACAGAATTTAGGCAAAAATCCTGGCCTCTTGTCTGCATCAAGTGCTAAATTACGTTATCTCCCATTCACAAGGGGCCTTTGTAAAGGATAGATCTTGGGCAGGGGACCGATTGACATGAATGCATTCATGCTAGAATCTAGTTTTTCAAGCTAGATTGGGAGAAGGCCTACCGCTTGTAGACCGATCTATCCAGGATCAAGTCCTTATCTGCATGGACTTCTGGCTGATTGAGCTCCTATATAACAGGCCGAAGGTCCTGAATAATATTGTCTATGCCTCCTTCCCATGGTTTTGTTTGTTCATCAATGATGTCCCAGAAGGCTGCTTCCTTACTTAGTGGCCCCTCTAACAAGGAACCCCCCTCTCCCCAATTCTATTTGCTATTGAGGGTGAGTTCTTTAGTAGATCAACATCAAGCCTTTTCAATTATCACCGGCTTGAAGGTTTCAAGTCCTCTACCCGTGGCCCTATTGTATGCCATATTTTATATTGTGGTAATGGTACATTGCTATTTTGGGATGCCACTAAGTGGATGATACATTGGTGGATGATACATGGGTATTTCAAATCCTTAAGTGCTTTGAGTTCTCAACTGGGTTTGAGATGAATTTAGACAAAACCATGATTATTGTTGGGTTAAAGCTAGAAGATGTGCTAGCTAAAAAGTTAGGTGATAGATTCCTTCCAAAGCAAATGCTCAGACTTTCCCCTCTTTAGTGGCAGTTCTCACTGGACCTTTGTCAATGAACGAAAATTCGCCCCTAGGCAGCCTAGGGGGTTTTCCTAATTGGATACGGTCTAGGTGGTTTGGTAGGGGCCCCCTTTGGCAGCCCTGTCTAGGCGGACTGCTTAGGTTGCCTAGGCATCCTATGGAGCCCTTGGCCATAAAAAGGCCCTTGGCAAAGGGCTCGAAGCTTTTGGTGTGAGTCGTTTCTCTCTCTCTCTCTCTCTCTCTCTCTCAGACACAGACTCACACACACACAAAACCATATGCTCTTTATCTATCTACGTATAACAAGAAAAAGAATAAGATGACATCAAGTGCTCTTTCTCTCTCTCTCACAAATACCCATGTTATCTTTCTCTACATTAAAAAAGAAGATGAAGAAGGCCTCTAATGTTTGATGCGAGGTCTCTCTCTCTCACTCATACACAGAAACGGACCCATATGTTCACTCTACATATAAAAAGAAAATGTCCTCCAAGTTTTCAATACGAGGCCCCTCTCTCTCTCAAGTACCCATATGCTCCCTCTTTCTCGCTATATATGAGAAGAAGAAAAGAAGACGATCTCCACTCGTTCTATGCGAGTCTCTGTTTCTCTCTCACTCACACACACACACACACATGGACCCATATGTTCTCTCTCTCTCTCTCTACATAAGATAAAAAGATGACACCATGTATTCATTGCAAGTCCTCTATCTCTACATATAAGAAGATGACCTCAAAATGTTTGATGCGAGGTCTCTCACATGCACATAGATCCCTATGCTCTCTCTCTCTTGTGTTTGATGCGAGCTCTCCCAACCACACATTGCCCTACCTCCCCCCCCCCACCCCACCAACACACCCACCCAAAAAAAAAACACCCCCCATACTTCGGGCCGCCCAGGTATCTGGGCAGGGCAACCAAATCCGCCTTCTTCAACATTGATGGGTCAGGGTTAACTTGGATCTTATCCAACCCTTTTGCACCCCTACCTAGGTGGCTTGGGATGGCTTTCGAATCACATGGGTGTAGGTGGGTTCTCTGTCTAGCCATGGCCTTGGCACTCGCTTAACTGCCGATACCTTGCCTGTGCCTAGGTGGCGCATAACCCCTGCCTGAGGCAGAAAAAGGTTATCAGCCATGGGGAAAAAGACTTTTCCCCCCTTTTTGGGTTTTGGGGGCATTTTGGCCCCCTAAAACACTATTAACCCCTTATTGAATGAGAAAAACATGATTAAAATTGTGATTTTGAACATTTTTTTTTTAAAGATGGAAATAAATTTGAATTTTTCAGTTTCTTACGAAACCTAAAGGCAATCAATCTGATGCTTTTTTTGGTATGAAATTTAAAGCGGTCACAAAAGAGGTTTTCCAGCAACCAATGGTTTTCGATTTGAGCCAAGAATGATTGGGTATTGAAATGTCGGTATCTTTAAAATTTTGGCTTAGGGTTTGGTAGTTTATGTGATATTTGGGTTTCATTTTTTTCATCTTTGGTTTATGTTCTCGTAATTTTCACTTTTTCGAGTTTAGCTTTGATTTTTTGGCAATTTTTTGTACTTTGGTCTTAAATTGTCCTAAGATTAAAATGGAGTAATGATGCAATTATTTTCTATTTTATCGCCCCTTTCCATTTTTTTGATAATTTCTCATTAATATTGGTGTTGCATTAGTGAACTTTTCAAATATTTGGGTATTAGGTTATTATTTTGTGTTTTCTTATAGTTTTGATCTTGTAAATTAGCAAATATTGCTCTAGGTTGGTTAACTCCAGTGTCTTCATAGTTACTTTAGTGTTGCATCCTAGACTACAAACTTGAGTTTTGTAAATCACTAAATACTAAACACTAACAGATCATCTACATATAATGGTAGTTGTCACTTTCTTTTGTACCATAATGGATGAATTTTGGGGAACTTCAAATCTTTTATAGCTTTAGTTATTCAATTTTAATGTTCAAACTTATGTATGTATAATACAAGAAAGTAAAAATCTCATAAAACTGAGAGAACCTTTTCTTTTTTTGGAAAAAGAAAAAGAAAAAGTTCTGTAAGTTCAATTAAAGGGGGTTTGGAATCCAAATCCACCTTTGTGAGCACCTGCCTGAACTGGATGACATTCTGTGATATCTGACCAGTCCATGGTTGCCTATGCTTGTGCTTGATGTTGTTCTAGGTTCGTGTATCAATAAAGCTTGACCCACAAGAAGGTAGGGGAGTGGCTTGGCATCACATCAAATGTTTTCTGGAAAAGCTTCCAGCTACAGATATAAGCAAGGTTCCTGGTTGGGAAAGCTTATCAACAAATGAAAAGGAGTCTGTTCTAGCGATTGTGAAAAAAGATAGTACAAAGAAAACAAAAGGTATACACTTTTTTTTTTAATAATTTATTTATTTTTATTAATTTTATTTTTTTAGTTCTTCATTTACGGGTTGATGGGAATCATTAAGTTTCTTATTTTTCTTCTAAAGTACATAAACGTGATCTTTTGATGTCAAGCGTAGGGGTGCAAGCTGTTCCTAGAGAAGTTCAACATGAGACAACCTCCAAAAGTGGAAAGCGAAAAAAATCCGCTAGTGATGGAGACAAGGAAAAGGTTCAAAAAACTGAAAACACTGTTACTGCTGGCAAAGTTGTTTCCACTGAATCAGGAGGTCTTAGTTCAGATGCAAAAGACTTGGAAAGCAAGCTTGAAATACAGAATAGGGCTCTATGGGCCATTAAAGACAACCTTCAAAAGCATGTTAAAGCTTCCGAACTACGTGAAATGCTGGAGGCTAATGGACAAGATTCATCAGGGTCAGAGCATGATTTACGTGACCGGTGGTATGCACCTTCTTTATGCATCAACATCATAGCATAATTAATAGTAGAAAATTCTGGATTCATTCTTGTATTTCTACTTGCACATTGCTTCGAAGTTTGAGAATGTTACTCGTTTTGAATTAATCTTTTTGTGAACAGGTTTACCGTATTGACGGCTTACTATGCAGTATGATGAGTTATTGCTATGCATTAACTTTTTTGCTAGATGATGATTTGAACTTTTGAAGTGGAAAAGTTTTGTTTTTGGGTCTTTCAAGTTATATAACTTCTTTTACCCTCATTAGTCATTTTTCTTAGATTTCACATGCCTTTTGTCTTCATTTGTACATTTCAGTTTATGTACCATAAAGAGAATGGAGAACGCGGGTCTTGATTGTTGATAGCTTTCCTTTATTTATTTTTTGCATATGTACACATGTACACATACATGTATGGTATCATTCATTTATACAAACTGCAATGTTTTAAAAAACGGTCCCCGACGCCTAGGCTGCCTATACCAAAATCTGCATGCCTAGACCCAGGCGGCCCTACACCAGTGGATGTACTTGGGCAGGCGCCCAGGACCGTAAGGCCTGTTTTGTTTTTTTAAATTGCCCAAAAGGGCAAAGGAGGTCATTTTGACCCCCAAGTTTGTATAAAAACGTTATGGGGTTTATTTTTAACCCCCAAAGTGAAAAAAAACCCCTCAATCTCTATGCTTAACTTATTTATAAGAATCTAAAGTAATTTATGAGAATCGAAAGTATTTTTTGTGGATTGAAAAAGTTTTCTTTTCTTATTGAAATTTTTTTTAAGGTGCTATTGGGGGCATTAGAAGACTTTTGAGTTGATTAGTAGCTCGATTGAGGTAACCAACATCGAAGATAAGAGAGTGGGCAGAAAAGATCAGTTTGTAATCTTTATTTGAGTTGCATTTTTCCAATTTGAGATGTCTTCTGTAGGGTCTACTAGGGGTGGTGATCTGGGATGGAAATATTGTGTTAACCTGGATAAATAATGATAGGAAAAAAATTATGTGAACATATTTCTAATGCTAGCATAAATAGATTTAAGAAATATCTTGCTGGTATTAGAGGTGATGTTGCCCCATGTAAGAAAGTCTCAGAGCTTGTAAGAAAGAAGTTTTTGAATACATTGAGAGTGAAAGGAGTAAAAAAATTTCAAAACAAAAGGATATAGTAGAATTAAAGTCAGGGGTCCATGTTTTTGATAATAATATTGATACTGAAGAAGAGGGGGAAGAAGAGGTAGCTCTAAGAGTAAGAGGGCTTTTGGGTCCAAGAAGCCTCATATGAGAGGGCCTATAGATAGTTTTTTTACACCTAGCCCTAAGACAGTGTAATTGAGCAAGGCAAGGGAGGAAAGGGGAAAAAACAAGTGACAATTGAAGGAGGCTTCGAGGCAAGTTTGTGACCCTGGTACTGGGGAGGTCTTCATTGGGGAGGGTTTGACATAGGAAATGGTCGAGGAGGCTTCAGGGCAAGTTTCTGATCCTAGGAGGGCCACTCGAGCAACGACTTCTGCTGGTACTTCACACTCATGGAGGAAGATAGAGGAAGAGGAGGCAGATTCAGAAGAATCTTTGGAAGAAGAGGAATATGTTGAAGAGGATGATGATTCTGATGATGACGACCACGATTCTGATGCAGATGGAAGCAATGAAGATGATGATTTTGATTCTTATTGATGTCTTTTCTCTTCTTTTGTAGTAACTTTATTGCACCATCTTGGTTTGGGCTTTAGGCATTTGGACTATTTTGTTATGAGGTTTATACTTTTTTTGCCTTTTTGGACTATTTATTGTGTGGTTTAATGGTTTTTTGTAGTTTTGGAAGTCAGTTTGTTGAAGACTTGGAGACCTTACAATAGTCTATTAGACTTTTAAATGTTTTGTATGGTTTGAAATTTTGAATAAGTTTATTCTCTATGTGATATGTTTGTATATAAAAACGTATGTTGCGAACTTGCGATATTTTCAAATGGAATAAATTACAAAATTTGACACAAATATATGCATATATGTGCATTTGGATAGCAAATATATGAAAACATGCTAAGAATTTGCACTACAGGGGGCACTGGGCGCCTGGCAGGCCGCCTGGCGTTTTTCGAAACCTTGACAGACTGGCCCAGTGGTTGGTGCCTTGGTTGGTTTGGTTTAGACTTAAAAATCAGGTTTGGTAAAAAATCTGTAAAAACTTCTTTGATTGGTTTTGACCAGTCCGATTGACTGGTTTTGACCAGTCCGATTTACTAGTTTCGACGAGTTCGACCTTTCAAACAAAGTGGGCGATTTTTTTATAACATACTATATATGTTCAATTATTATTCATAGTTTTCTTAATATTTTTAAAATTCAGTCAATTCGGTTCAGCTGATAGTTAGACTGGATTGGTTTGGATTGCGCTAGACCCCTCACCAATTTAGTGGCTGCTTAGATCTTGATAACACTATATACAATAATATTGTATAACATTGTATGTAATACAAAGTAAAAAACTAATAATGATTTCATTTAAATTGAAGGAGAGATGGCAATCAAATTATACAAAATTATGTAACTACATTTGTAATTTAGAAAATAAGGTGAATACTTTTATGGTGGAATAGAGTTCGTGTAGGCAACCCAAATAGTTGGGATAAGGGTCGGATGATGATGATGTGAATGCTTTTATACTTTTATGAAGATTTTAAGAGATGATTGTTTTGTTTTCTTTATACTAGATGATCAATAGGCTAAGGAAGATATGATTGTTTTGTTATCTTTATAATAGATGATTAAAAGGCTAAGGAAAATGATTATGCTAGTTAATAAGGATAACTAAAAACAAAAAACTATGATGTATAGGTCATAAGCTCAATAAACTTTAGGAAATTCCAAAGTGATGTTTTTTTTTCTCCATTTATAGAACTATATCATTGTCTAATGGAAGAAATAAATGCGAACATTGTATCAAGGTCACCAGTGGCTTGAATTATTTGAAGCTCTTCAGGTTCAATTTCATTATTCTTGAAAGAATTTTTCATTGCTAAACATATCTTTGTGAAGTTCTCAGATCCAATTACGTCAAAAAAAGTTTATAGCTGTATAGTGGCACAATCTGAGTACCTGGTTGACATTATTGGGTTATCACTATAGGAAATTTTTTCTGTGCAATAAGTTTTGTTGATCTTAGTTATTGAACTTCAACAAGTGTATCCACCTGATAGTAAAAATCTTCTCCTGTTAAGTGCTGATGGCATGCTGTTTGGAGCACTGGGAAGCTGCTCGCTTTGTTCTGGTTCTGTGTATTATTTTGGAGGCAGATACAAATGCCATGGCTATGTATCAGCATGGAGCAAGTGTGCTTACTCAACCACGGAACCTACACGTCTTAAAGAGAAATGGAAAGTTCCAGAAGACTCCGACAATGAATATCTTTGTAAGGTGCAGACCTGTTATGTCCTATGTGGCAATCTCTTTTCCTGAATTGTCCTGGAAATATTGTATTAATTGAGAGAACACATCTTCTACAGTGGTTCAAATCCCAGAAGGCAAAGAAGCCTGATCGGATTCTACCTCCATCTTCTAGTAGGTCAAGTAATGTTGTGGATGGCAAGTCCCAGCTAACTAAAAGTGAAAGCTTGCAAGAATTGAAAGTTGCAATTGTTGGAATGTCAAATGAATCTCTGGTACCAGTCTCTTGTTCAATAGTTTTATGCAGTAGCAATCCGAAGCCTTTATAATGAATGATGTTTACATTTTTTTACAGGGTTCTGTTCTGCTACTCTGCTTTCTTGTTACTTTATCTTAAATATTGTATAATGTTGTGGTGTGTGATAACTGATAAGTTCAATGAGATGATATGAAACTGTGCAGGAGGAATGGAAAAGCAAAATAGGCGCAGCAGGTGGGGTCTTTCACATGAAGATGAAGAAAGGTAAACAGATCCAAATGATTTCTGCTTTAAAGCACAATTCCTTTTTAGCAATGTTCAGAGACCCATGACTTGCTCCAGGAATTACTCAGGGCCCAGTCTGGGTCAATTCACCGAATCTTGAGTTGAGCTGCCCGGTTTTACGAATAAATGGAAAATTTTTAGAAAATAAGGAAAAAAGGAAAATAGGAAAACTCTACAAAAAAGAAAGATCTGAAAAAAAAAAAAGGAAAGTTTTTTTAAAAAATGAAAAAATTATGACTAGTTAATTTGCAGGGTTGCTTTGATATTTCTATCTTGTTTGGCATACACTAAATGAACCTACAACATAATATTAAAAATGATTTTCCATTTGTTGTAAATCTGTGGAAATCTACACTTTAGATTCTATACTTCTATAGTCTATACAAGAAATGCCATGCTTCCATATTCTGAGCTCCAAACGATTCACATTCTAAATCTAATTTGTAAATGCAAAATAGTAAATGACTAAAATACTAATTTTACTAAAATACTAATTTTAAGTAAATAACTAAAGCACTAATTTGTAAATCAGTAACAGAAACAACTTAGAAGTCAAAATCAAGCATATTAGGCTACTAGCAAAACAACTAACAAAGTTATAGTTGCAAATTAAGAGGGCTTCCTTCTTCCAAGTATCAATTTCGTCAACACCAAGAGGCTGATCCAAAGATTTCACTGAACGAATGTTTACTCCATCTCTTGGGCCCTTGGATCTGTCCTTTTCTTCGTTATTTGCATCCTCTTGAGGCCTTATTGCTTGCATGTTGATCATACCTTTCTCCACTTTTGAAAATCTCCAATCTCAGCTGAGATTCGTGTTATTTTGGGGGCTATTTCCGCTCATCTTTGGCACATGGTTTGGTGTATCCATCAATCCTTTCCGCATAATAGTCGTATCTGGAGTGATCTTTGGTGCAGGCAATTGGGAGGGCACCGCATTCGAAAAGGAGATGAAACCTTGCAGTTTCACACACTCCTGATCATTTGATCTTTATTGTGGGATCTTGTCTGTGGATCCAACCCTAGTATGTGGCATGATCTTCAGGTATTCGTAACTTCTGCCCTATCTGGCTCTCCAAGCTGCCTTTTCTCTTTGATTGTCTGACCTGGAACTCTGATCTCTATCTTTCAGTTGATGTGTTTCTGATCCATCATATTCCCCCCACCACTGGAGTTCTGGCTGGAATTCTCATCCTGTTGTTCTCTGTTGCATTGCGCAAGTCTCCTGCCTCTTGTGTCATTCCTTCTCGGACTTTGTGCAAGTATCCTACCTTTTTCACTGCTCTTTGCCACACTTTGTACTGGCTGCTACTCCCTTTGTGGTCCATCCATTCCTATTCTGTGTGTATTTGATGGTGGTGCTTTGTCAAGGCAAGGGAATCAGGCCTGCTACTACTGTGGGTATTTCCGTTTAGAGTACGATCCGTACCTCAAATTAAAGCTATGAAACAAGTAGCTGGCAAATCAGTTTTTTTCCCTCGTGGTTGCTTCCGTGCTGCTGCCTCATTCTGCTCGTCTTTAGCTGCTTGCGATGCAGGGGCTTGAATAAGGAGCCTTGCTGAGTAGCATCATGTTCAACTCATTGCCATCTCTTCTCTGGCTGCTTTGATCTTCCTCTGCCCTTTCTTTCTATCTTCACAAATTCCTCATAGTTCTGTTCGTTCTTTCCGTTTCATTTTGGTCTTCTCTCCGTGTGGCCCTTCCGTGTTCTTTCCCTCGAGCTCCTTCCCATTAATCTCCCAAGTTCACCAATATCTTCACTTAAAGCAGAAAGGGGTAAAATCATAGTCAATCCCATAATCATTACATCTCCTTACCACCATTTTGCACTAAGACAGCCAGTGGAAATTTGTCTTGAATGTCCATCTCAACACACACACCCCTTCGCATCTGGCTCAGAGTAATCTTGTCCAAGAAAGGATGCTTTCTAGTGAGGTCTATATCCGTAAGACAAGATGGGTTCGCACCATCCGGGATTAGCAGGATGAATATCTGCTTTCTCAATTTATTTTATTTTATTTTTTCCTCTTTTCAATCATATGAAAAGCCATAAATACCATCTTGTTGGCATTATCAAGTTAAAATAAAAAAAAAATAATCAGTAACTGATACCCAAATGCAGACACGTATAAAAATATTCTTTTTGGAGGTAAAAAAAAATGAAGAATGTTAATTTTCCTATTTTTTTGTGAGAAATTGTAAATTTATAAACAGAGCGTTATAGAGGCATAAAAACCTAACCAAAAAAATGCCATTAGCATCACCATGTTGAAACAAACACCCAATGAGTGATAACCACATGCAGACATGTATAAAAATATTTTCATAGAATTTGAATTAGTCACATCTTTCAGTCGCCTTCTTTTCCACCAAGAGTTTAATGAAACTTTTTGGCCCCAAATTTGGAGTATCGAACATTCATGTGATTTTCAGTGTTCACGGAATATTCAATATTTCACGATCAAAGGTGTAGTACTGCTTGTAGTAGCGGTCCTTACATATCGACTAAAAATCGAAATACGGTAGATTTTGTAGTGAAATATTGGCACGTACAAATTGCATGCGTACTTATATAAGTAATAAACATGTTTCTTTCATTCTCAAAAAGAAACATGTTTATTTAGAGTATTTTTATAGAGAATGCAACAAAAAGAAAATATGAAAAAGTTCCAGCCTTGATCCTCTCAAACTGTATTCCTTTGAAATTGAGGCATCCAATAGTCATAAAAAGATCCTCAAATGCCATAATCGATGCCCCAAAAATATCTTTATGCTTGGACTTTGAATCTCAGTTGATTTGAAGAGTGCAAAAGTTCCATCAAAACCTAAATTGGAATCTCAGATTTGTGAGATTTGGGGCGTTCTATTGTAAATCTAAGCATATGATCCATATGAGGGCGTCAAAATAGCTGTAAAACGTTTTCTTCAAGCCTTGAGAACCCCCTTTGTAGCTGCAAAACTTTAAAGGGGTTTCGTTTTGTGCTCCTCTGTTATTTAAGCTTTTAACACGAGTGTCAGACTTCCCTTAGTCGTCTAGTCTTTGGAGACTGAGGGAACTGCCTGAGTCTGACAGTAAACCGCCAGTTCTGTATAGTATTAGATAGAGGCCTGTGCAGGTTCTGATTGGCTCAGGCAAGCAGGGGTCCAGCTCACTGAATTTTTGAGCATTGCTTCATAAGAAGTTAATTGTTCTGTGTCTTTGTTATGTAATGTTGATTGCTCTGCCTTTGCTGCTGCTTTGCAGAGACTTACTGCTTGGTTGTAAATGGAAACCCTGAGGAGCATGATTCAGAAATCAGGAGAGCACGGTGGGTACTACATATTCATATTATTCTATTGTGCATTTTTTTGATCCTTTAAACTTTGGTTAGCACTACAAGCTAATGGACTATAGCATAATGTTCTACTATCCATCTTCTTCCATTACTTCATTTGTTGGTGATGACCCACTAAAGTGTACTTTTTCCTGGGTGAGTCGGTTAAGTTCAAACCTGGGATGTTGTGTGGCAATCCTCAGCATTCTAATCATTAGGCTAGGTGCCTGATTCCCTTTACTTGTTACAAGCATTGGTTTTGAATAGGACTATTTGAATAGAGATGAAGTTTCTTATGCTACATCACTTTCTTCTTGAAGGAGGATGAAAATATCTGTTGTAAGGGAGGAGTATTTGGTTGATTGTATTAACAAAAAAAGGAGGCTTCCAACTGACCAGTACAAAATAGAAGTGGCTTCTGAGACTTCAAGAAGTGGCATGGTCACTGTGAAAGTCAAAGGACGTAGTGCTGTGCATGAACAATCCGGTCTTCAAGATTCAGGGCATATTCTTGAAGATGGGAAAAGCATTTTCAATACAACTTTGAATATGTCAGACCTTTCAACTGGTATCAATAGGTAGATTACCTGAAGGATTTTTTATATTTTATTGCTGTTTTTATATTTTATTGCACTCCATAATAATTTCATTAGCTTGTTGTGGTAATGAAAAAATAGTTTAATGTTACTTTAAAGACTTGCTTTCTCAGGATCTGCTTTTCTCACATTTCTATAAATTTCTCATACAAACACATGCACACACAAATATAGGTCTGCCCAAGGGCAGATCTCTATAATGTCTGCCCTACCTCAAAATTTGGGGATCCTGGTGACAAACCCCTCTCCTGATCCCTCCCCCCCCCCTTCCACATCAAAACCCAAAAAACAAAAAAACAAAAAAGAAGAAGAAGAAGAGAGTAATGCTGGAAAAAATCCCTTCCTAAAACTAGAAATGGATTGTCCAGTTTTTGAATGGTCAAATGTGTGATGTAGAAGACTCAAATTCAAATTTTTATTTTTTTAGTTGTTCCTCCAATAATGATGAGGTAATCTACAAAACTTGGGATCAAACATTGACGCAGCACAGAGAGAGAAAGCAAATAAAGTGAAAAAAGGAAAACAAAAGATTGAGAGATTGCGTTTTCTTTCTCAGAGCTTGCAAAGGAATCCACTCAAATAAAACTCTTCATGAATCTAAAATCCAATAACTGTTTTCTATCCTTCTTTAATTGTCAAGGACTTCCATGTATATGAAATTAAACGGGCAAACCCTGACCCACTTGGAACTCATGTAAAATCCCATAATAGCAAAAATTCAACCCTTAAATAAAAGAAAAGGAATACAGAGAAATTTCATCTACTTGCCAATAGTAATAAAACTAGGAAACAAGCTTACTACATATCCCACCTTCACTATTTTTAATTAATTCCAAGACCCAATTGACAAGTGACAACTACTAACTTCCTATTTTTATCTTCCTTTTCTTATATCATTCTTCCCCTTAAGCTTGTAGATTTGAAAACATGAATCGTTGAGCAACTTACCTCTGGGCGCTCATCTTCTTTAGCTACTCCATTTCTTTGTTTAGTTAGTCAGGTGAACTTCCATCCCCTTGTTCATGTATAAGCATGCCAGCTTGTTCCATTACACTAATAACAAGTAATCTTGGCAAAACCCATTTGATTATATTTTTACTCTTCATTAAATTTGGGTTATTAGAAACCTGCCGTTGAGTAAAAAATCACCAATCGGAGCTCCATTTTAATTCAGATTCCACCAAAGGGCAATCTGAAAAGCTGCGCCTATAGTCCTTGCCCGGTGTAGAAAAAATCTCCTTGTTAATGGGTGGGTGGAGTCCATTGACATAACATGCTTCCTTTTGACCAAACCCTTGGTCTCATGTAGGTTATTTTGAACCAAAAGCCTAGAAAATTATCCAGTGTAGTCCTCAATGCTCTTGTCATTTGCCTATGGTTTCGGAGATCTTGAAAGCAAATTTCCTTATGATGAACAAGAACAATTATTATTTTTTTCAATTTCTTCCTCTTATTCTAGCTAGAATTTTTTTGCCTTCCATTACAGAGTCAATATTGTTCTCACTAGGCCCCCACATAACCATGGACCTTGGCTTTATGTTCGCCTGACAATTAACTCTACTAAAATAAATTTTCTATTGAACTCAACCAATAAATAAAACCTTCAATATGGAAATTACCATGAAATTTGAGAAGATCGACCTTACCGAGATCCTGTTGATGCGTCACATGTGGTTCATGCCTCAAAATCAGCTCATTACGTATGGCATTAGCTACCTAAGTCAATTGTGGAGCTTGATTGATCTCTAGGTTGAGATTTGGTGCCAGATTCACCAGGTTATGAGTACCCTCTCCTTGACCAATTGTGTTTTCTAATCGTTTTAAATGCTAGTGTATTTTGCTGATTTGCTCTCGAAGCTCGCAAGGAGAAACCTCTCCTTGAATGCTGTGCATGGCTTTATCTATGTAGGCCATGAGCTATTGTTATGTGTCGTCAGTCATGGGGATTTGGCTGCATGTTGCTATAGAGATCTTGATGACGCAGTGGAGAGAAAGCAAATAAAATGGAAAAACTGAAAAGATTGAGGGGGTATGTTCTCTCTCAGAGCCTGCAAGTGAATTCACCTTGAAAAAAGAATCCAAGTATCGGCACCTTTTTATTGCCCAAGAAACAAACACACACACATATGCATATATATGTACATGAATGGGTAAACCCTAACTGTATTTGGACAATTGGACCTCACATTAAACCCCATAAGAATTGGGATTTTCTATTGGCAATCCCTCTGTAAAAGAAAGAAAAGGGATACATGATATTTTACCTCTTCGCTGATAGCAATAAAAATAGGGAACAAGCGAAACTGCATATCCCACCTTTCCTAATCTTTCTAATAATTTTAAACCCAAATTGATAAATATTGAGGACAAATTTCCTAGGTTTTTATTTTGATTTTTTTAACTATTTGCATGCTGGGTCCAAGAGAGTGTCTATGCAAAATTTGGGTCTCCCCTCCCCCCCCCACACACACACACAAAAGAAAAGAAAACCAGCAAAAAAAAAGAAAAAAAAGAGAAAAAAGAAAAAGAAAAGAAAGTTAGGGTGGGTACTGTAGTGTCTGCACTAGGATGCACCAAAGTTTTTCACACAGACATACAGATGCATGTACGCACACATGCTTAGCTTTTCAGCTTACTCACATGCTTTTTGACATACTTAATACTCTTTTTATCTCTTTTAATGTTGTTGTTGATCCTGGTGTTTGCAATCGCATGCATTTAGATCTTGCGTTTGTTATTAGAAATCCCTTTCTTGATGTCTTTCCTATTTTATTTCTTGTTTCTACTTTTGTTACAGCCGACTCCTAGATTATAAATATTATTTATGCCCCATCCTTAAATGGAAACCTGGTTTCAATCAGTCAATTGATGCTAGATTTTCATGTTTTTGCTTCCTTTCTTGTGTAAGACCTGAAGTTGTGGAGCATAATTGGCAGAGTAGGAGGGGCATTGCATACTGAAATGGGAAACACTCTTGCAAATCCTGTGCTGAAAACATCTAAGTACTTGGCAGATGGTCAGAATCTCTAGAATCAGGGTTTAGGAGATTGCTATATGTTTCATTTATATCATATGGCTGCTTTTTGGTTGCATTTGCTAATCTGTCTTTCTTCATATCAATGATGGTTTCGGCCTGCATGTCTTGTATCAATTGCCAAAGGAATTTTTTTTCTTTTCTTTTCAGTCTTTGCTGCATGTGTCAATTGCCCATCTTTGTTGGATATGTTTTACTTCATAGTTATTGGATTTTATTTTATAGTAGGATTGGTGTCTATCTTTCTCAATTTAAGGTAACTTATTTAATTGATCCTTAGTTTTGCAAATTCCCATTTTTAAGAGTCATGTCCTTTCGTTCATCATCATCATCATCATAGCTTTTTCCCAATTAATTGGGGTCGGCTACATGAACCCTGATATGCCATTTTACTCTATTAAAGACCATATCTGCAGTGAGGTCATAAGTTCACACATCTTTTTGGACTATTTTCAACCACGTCCTTTTGGGCCTACCCCTTGTCCTTTTCAATCCTTCCATTTGAACTAATTCGCAGCTCCTAACAAGTGCAATATTGGGTTGGTGCCACACATGGCCAGCCCACCTAAGTCTACTCTCTCTCATCTTATCATCCATTGGTGCCACACCTAAACTTTCCCGAATGGATTTATTTCGGAGTCTATCCCTTTTGATCTTGTCACTCATCCATCTCAACATCCTCATCTCTGCTACACTCATTTTATGAGATATATTGTTTTTTGTACTCCCAACATTTTGTGCCATAAAGTAAATTTGGTCTCACAACTGTCCTATAGAACATTCCCTTGAGCTTCATTGGTATCACATAAAATTCCAGTTGCACGTCTCCAGTTTGCCCACCAAGCTCTAATTCTATGTGCGACATCTTCCTCAATCTATCCATTTTCTTGGATTATCGACCCAAGGTATCGAAAGTGCGGTCTTTTTTGTACTTTCTGGCCATCAATCTTAACTACTTCCTTGTCTCTACTCCTATTACTACTAAACTTGCATTCCATATATTTAGTCCGACTAATTTTAAAACCTTTGGATTCTAGAGCGTCCCTCCAAATTTCAAACTTTGTGTTGACGCCGTTTCGGGTCTCATCGATCAAAACTATCATCTGCGAACAACATGCACTATGGGGACCTCATCCTGTAGGTGCCGAGTGAAGTCGTTCATAACTAAGACAAAGAGGTACGGAGCTCAATGCTGACCCTTGATGTAGACCTATTGTCATTGAAAACTCAATCATCTCCACTATTTGTTCGCACACTAGTTAGCGCTCCATCGTATATATCTCTCACCAAGTCGATGTAGTGTTTAAAGACTCCTTTCCTTTCCAATGCCCTCCAAATCAAATCTTGAGGTATCTGTCATAAGCTTTCTCAGGTGCCTAAGTAGAAAAATAGCCTTGGTTGTTGATCTTTTTGGCATAAAATCAAATTGGAGTCACGTCCTTTTGCTCATGACTTAAAATGATTTGAAGTAACATTGCTATATGATGCAAACAAAGAAATGTTCTTTATAAATATATAGAAGTGTTTTAGTGATAACTGTGTGGGTTTTTCCTCAAAAAGCTTTCGTTGGATACCGCTTCAGTTTTTTTTTCTTGCAGTGGTGGATTTTTTTTGAATCTACCACTTCAGATTCTGGAAATAACCGACATGGATCCTTTCTTCACGCACCTCGTAGAATGGATTAGTTGAATGCAGGTAGAAACATGTTTCATAATTCCCTTGATATTATATGTTTGAGATTCATGTATTTTAAGATGCTTTAGAACCAGATTAACTTCAAAATATATTTTAAATGCCTGCTATCTTTTGAATATTGCTGAAACCATTATCAATTCTTGTAAGAAAAATCCATCAAAAAGTTTACCAAATTTTAAGGCAAGCTGGTTTTTTCTGCGTTTTTATTGTCTTTTTTTATTGTACTCATTTAATGCTTAACATATGTGTACCTATCAAAGTCGCCTTGTCGATACTTGGAGGTGGGACTACATTTTGGTTCTGTTATGGATTGAATTTATGTTCTGAGTTGCTGCCCGGAACTATATTGGGATATGATTTCCATCACTTACAGTTTTGCTTTAGGTTCTTCAATGTTGTAAATTCCTTTTTGCTGACATTTTAAAGTTGTGGTAGTCCATGTAAAATTCCACATCCACCGCTTCACAAATTTCACTGTGTTTCATTGACAATCCTCCAAATGTATGCACATTGCTTGGATCCATAAATACTAGTCATTTTAACAATCAATTAATCATAAGTTTGCTTCTGAAAATCTTGTTTTGGACATCCATTGCTTCACATGTTCCACTGAATTTTCACTTACAATCATAGATCGTTTTTGTTTCTTGGTGTCTTGGGTGTGAGTAATTCCTTTAATAGATGGAAGATCATTGAGTCTCTCAAAGCATTTTTTAAATAGCATGTATGTTGACTTCTGTTTGGAATCTGGTGCAAGCCTTCAGTTTTGGAGGTTAGAACCATTATTTTCTGCGGAATTTTTCTTGGTTCACCTACGTAAATGGATTTGCTAAGTTTAAAATGCAGGTGTACCTGCTCTAAATGTTTGAAGTACTCATTGTGATTGACTTGATTGATCACGTTTTTTGAGTGTGTATTTGTTTTTTTGATTGCGCCGGAGTTTCATAATTAATATGTGCAATTATTGCCCCAAGTTCTGACAATTTTCTACATTTACTTGAAGCTACTATATCCTTCAAATCATTCAGGAGGATCGAGGGGGTGACTGCTATGTATTTCGAAAGTGGGGCCGAGTGGGCAATGAGAAGATTGGTGGGAACAAACTGGAGATGATGTCTAAGTCTGATGCCATTCGCGAATTTAAAAGGTTGTTCTTAGACAAGACAGGAAATAGCTGGGAAGCATGGGAGCAGAAAAGAAACTTCCAGAAGCAGCCTGGAAGATTTTTCCCTTTGGATATTGTATGAATAACTTCGATTATCAATATTGAATTTATTAGTTAATGGTTATCTTGCAGCATAAACTTAAAAGGGAACTGAAATTTTAGGACTATGGTGTGAATAAACTGGAGCCAAGAAAGAACGAACTTGGTGATGTGAAGAGCCAATTTGCCCCTCGATTGATAGAACTGATGAAAATGCTCTTTAATGTTGAAACATATAGGTATATGAAATCTCCCTTTTGTGTTGTGTTCAAACATGGGTTTCCGACATCTTGATGGCTTGATCACAATTCATATTTCTTTAGGGCTGCTATGATGGAGTTCGAGATTAATATGTCTGAAATGCCTCTTGGGAAGCTAAGCAAAAGTAATATACAGAAAGGTAACCCCTTAGCCTGCTTATTTTTATTTTTATCAAGTTGAAGAGATAGGCAAGTTTTATTTGCTCATATGTTTCCTCTTTTTGTCGGATTGCGGCTGACCAGTCCATATAATACATGAACATTCGACTGTATTTCAACTGTGTCACCTTTTCGTCTTCCAATATAGGAATTGGTACTTAATCATTTTTGCATTTGCTTTGACCATAAAATCCAGGAAATGATAGTTCCATTTTACTTCAATGGCATATTTTCAGGATTTGAAGCATTAACAGAGATACAAAATCTTCTCAGTAATATTGTTTACGAGCCATCTGTGAAAGAGAGCTTGATTGTTGATGCCAGTAATCGCTTTTTCACGGTGATTCCTTCGATTCATCCACATGTGATTAGAGACGAAAATGATTTTAAATCAAAGGTATGTTGAGTATTTCTCATATCTGTATTGCTTTTTTCTTTTTCTTCTAATTTTCTCTCTCATGATTTGTCTATGTTGCGTAGAAGTCTCCATCAAGCATCTTTTCTCTTAATGCTTGATTTGCTTCAATGGCTTTTGCTGCGCCTTTGTTTTGCTTTTCATGCCTTTGTAGGCATTCCTTAATATGGTTTTGCGAATTAGCTAGAAAAGGTAAATATACTTTTTTTTGTTTTTTTAGAGGCTACTGTTAAAGTGTTATATAATAAATTTTGATTGTACATATCCAAAAATTGGGCGGCCCACAAGCTGGGTGCTCCATAAAAAGGAATATATGAACACAAGACCCACTACAACAAAAAATGGTGGGTGGATTAAGAAAAGAGATGGAGATGTCGAGTTGGGAGAGGTAGGAAGAGATAGCAGGAGTAGAGAGGAGAGAGTTGGGGGACAGAGAGTGTAGAAAGAGATGGATAGAAGTATGTGTCAATCAAAAGAAAAGTGGAGATCTGTGGCTGTATGTGGTGTCTTAGCTACCTGTGCCCTGTAGGCTTCCTTGCCGCCGCTTAGCGAATGCATCAGCCACATGGTTTATCTCCCTAGCTGTATGGAAGAATGTCACTTGAAGATGCCTGCGGAGGAAGAATATCTGGTAAAAAAGGTGGTTGAGTCTCCACGTGCATGGCTCGGCTGCAGAGGCCCACCAGATGGCATCCTTAGAGCCTTGTACTGCTAGAGTGGAGGAAGTACAACAAGGGTACTTTCCATTGTTTTCTTGGTCTGTCAAGAAAGGGGTCGATTCTGTCTTTTGAATCTCACTTCTGCTCTCCACGGAGGGGAAGTTTGTTCCTTTGTGATTTTTAAACTTTGGAATCTCAATCCTTCCTATTAGGGATGGAGATCTTGAGTTACAAGGGATCCAAATTCTTTGGATTTGTGGTATGGTGCAACAGTATGGTATACATAAGTATATACTGTATAATATAATATATATAGTTATACAAAGTAAGTTTAAATAATATAGTATAGTAAAATATGGTCTATAGCATAGTATTGTAATATAGCATAGCATTACATTATTGTACAGCAAGGTAGTATAGTATAGTAGTATTACTATAGTACCATACTAGTTATTCACTCTCAGGAGCCTCGATTTTAACTAGATGGAGTTTGGTCTCATATAATTTATTATTCGATCCCGATGAAGATTGGATCGAGCTCCACTACATATTGGGATCGAGATTCCTGGATTTTAGGTTGTTTGGATTTCGATCCTGCCAAAAGGAGCTTCTGCTTGTTAAGATCCGGTGATCCCGATCCAGATCCTGGATCTCATTCAATCCTAATCCTGGTCACTATGGTCCACCCTGTTGAGGCCGTCAACCACCACATCCGTTTGAGCCTCGGTGGAGTCCGTGAGGCCTATGTACCCTTGAAACATGATATGGTATTGCCTTAGTAATCTCTAGAGTTGCCACCATGGCCTGAGGGTTATGGATTGTCTCGTGAGCAAACATCTACATTTGGCTTAGTTGATCCAGGTTTTAGAGGTGCCAAGAGGCCCAAGACTACATTTTGCATCCCAGCTGGCATGAGAGTCCACGCCTGTGAAGGAGTTGAACTGTTGGTGGTTAAGACCCCAAAGATGGTGGCTTTAATAGAGTCTTCAATGGCTTGGATGGAGGCCTTCTTGCCATCGAATATCGGACTGTTTCCTTATTACCATAAGGTCCATAAGAGGATTGCTCCCAAGTCCAAAAGGAGGAGGGTTGTGTTAGGTGGGCAGCCAGCATAAAACTTTGCCACATCTTTACATGAAAGCAAACTCCAAATAGTTGAGATAAGGCTCGGATGATGATGATGATGATAAGAGGGCGATAATTGAAGCTCTCCAAAGGAAGAGCCTGATGGCGGTGTAGGGAAAAAGGATTTAAATACTTGTAGTGTGGTCCTTGGAGTGGCCTAGCATCAATCGAACGTTTGGAGGAAGCCCTCCCATAGTTTCCTGGCGAAATGGCAGTGTAGGAGTAGGTGGTCCTTGGACTCCACCTCCTTGCACAGCACACATCTGTTTGTGGCTTGGATGGCCCATTGTTTTAGCTGATCTATAATAAGGCTTAGAGATAAGACCATCCAATTGGACGATTGAATCTTCAACGATACTGGAGTCAGCCAAGCCTTGTGAGCAGTAGAGTGGCTGCCATGAGGGGCAAAGGACAATATGTAGAACTAGGCTGCTGGGAATTTCGGCAAAGGAGATGCTCACCAAGGGAGGACATCCATGTCCATTGGGGGGAGGGCCTGAGGTGTTTGAAAGAGGAGTGTAAGGCTGCTAACTTCATTGAGTTCTTTCCTGTAAAATGGAGGCCACACAATATTGCAACCAATGAATTCACAATAGTCCACTATTAAGGCCTCGGAGTTGGTTGCAATAGTGCATAACCTAGGTTCCCGATCTGTGTGGCTTGTGTTTCCCACCCAAATGCTTTCCAAAATCTCACTTTTTCCCTCGTCTTTGCCCTGAATCACTTGTTCGTCATGAACTTTAGATGGCTTTGAGAGTTACCTTTCCACATCCCAGATGCTCTTGAGGATGTCATGGGGAACCATCTGGAAGGGTATAGCCATATTTGTGGTTTATAAGCGACGCCCACAGTTGGTCAGCAGTAAGGCTGTGCAGCATCCCTTGTGGATTGCTCCACCTTCATTTTTCGGCCTATGTTTTATCCACTCAACAGAAGTTTTTGATTAGCTTTTCAATACTACTGCAAATGGAGATTGGCATCTAGAAGAGGGACATATGGTAGATGTGATGTTGGAGAGAGTAGCCTTAATGAGAATAATACGACCTCCTACAGAGAGGAACCTTACTTTCCAAGCCGCTAAATGATGCTGGAATTTTGTGGCTAACCGTATTCTAAAGGTGTTTGCGAGGCCTGCCACTACACAGTGGTAACCCACTGTGTACAAGGGCCTTGCTGGATTTTATGTCAATGCCTACACCCATTAGCCTGGTTTTGGCTATGTGTTTTTAATTCCTAAGCAAAGCTCACAGCATCTTAAGAATTTTCATGGTTTATCTCGATGTTCTTGGAAAAAAACCAGGACGAGAAGGTAGGTAATTTCTGGGCCAGTCCTACATGTTTTGAAAACCTTAAGGAGACCTCGATGATACATGCTAAAAATCTCAGCAATGGTAGCAAAAATAAAGGAGTACGGAGGGCCCCCTGCCTAAGGCCACGTGGGACGGAGAAGTAGGCATTTGCTGGAAGTCCAAACCAAATGGCCTTAGGCTTCTTCCCAGTCTAATTCGACAATAACACCAGGCTGTTCTGTCAAGTGCGTTGATGAATGGCTTCATTTGGTATTAGGGTGCTGTCTATGATCGCTTTATTGTTGACGAAAGTGCTCTGCGGTTTATAATGAAATCCAGGACTTCGTTCAACTAAGAGGCGGGTTTATAATCAAGCCCAGGACTTCCTGCAACCGAGAGGCACGCACCTTAGTGGGAATTTTGTAAGAGGTGTTGAGGAGGCTAATTGGGAGAAATTCTTTGATTGCACAGCCCCTTCCATTTTTTGGAACCAGGGCAATGAAGTCCGTGTTAATTTGTGTAGTATATCCCAAAATCTAGAGAATACTGTTACTGGGTACACATTGGGACCTGGGGCATTCTTTTGTCCAAGGTGGGAAATGGCCCTACGAATCTCATCTCTAGAGAAGGATTGCTCTAGCCAGGTGGCTCTGTCATCTGGATTAGTCTTGAAGGCAAGGTTTGCGATATACGCTCTAGGTTTTGGGGAGGGGTTGAACAGTTCTTTGAAGAATCTTATGATGAGTCTTTGACTTGGGAGGGATCTTGGAGTTGTCTAGCTCCTACCTCTATGGAAGTGATGGTGCTCGTCATTTTTCTGCAAATTAGCAATCATGTGGAAGAATGCCATGTTTCCGTCCCTTGTTTGAGCTTATGTTATAATATTTCTCTCAGGTGGTGTGAGGTCTCTAGATTTTTCTAGGGAATCTACATCACTAATCATCTTATTGATAGAGCCTTTTTGGCCTCAGACGTTCCCTGATAGATTCCTATACCAGAGTTTCAATGAGTGTTTCAAGAGCTGTAGTTCTCTTTTCGGTCTCTGTCCTGCCCACCCAAACAAAGTGAAAGAGGACCACTATTAAGTAACTAGGTTTTCAAAATTGTGCTGTTCAAATCAGACCCGTTCGAACCAAAAGGACTGGATCCTAAGTGGTTGGGAATCCAAAAAATTAAATATTGATGAGGCTGGAACGTTTGGCATGGTTTGACCAGGCGTAGAGTGAGCCGTTGAGTGAGATTTCGATGAGATTGTTTATAAAAGTGAAGTCTGAGAATGCCGACGTGCTGGCATGGTTCTTTCATGTTGGTTTTTCCATGGGACCATCTAGGCATGTTGAAGTTTCATACTCATAGCTGGGCAAGTGGGCTAATTGGTCCAGTACTGTCCATCGGGAGTCTCCAAGGTGGCGAGAGCTGGGACCACACATGGCAGTGAATTTCCATTCAAACTGATCGGAGGTTCTTAAGAGGCAGATGGTAGAAGAGAGTTGCCTAGACTGGCCAATGGTTAGGTTATGTAAGAAGGGTGCTAAATATTACCCGGATGCCGCCGGAGGCTCGATGGGCCTCAAGGGCTACCCATTGACATGGGTGGCACCCCCTACTTCCCGCACTAGGTACAGGGAGGGTTTCTATGATTTGGTCTCTAGCAATGCAAGGATCTCACATGCATCTTTAAGAAAGAAGTCCATAAGAGTGTTTCTTTTGTTTTGGCTTCCCAGGTTGCAAATATTCCATATTTGGCTCTTCACTGATCCAGGTTGCTGGAGGATGCCAGGCGTTTGGCATGCCTGGGTGGAAGGTTGCAGATATTCCATATTTGGCTCTTCTCCCTCTTCTTTTTCTTTTCATTTTCCTTTTTATTAACTGCACACGTGTTTGTGTATTCTTTTCATTCCTTTTCCGTTCTAAATCCTGTTTCACCACTCCAGATAATGCTTGTAGGTCTATTTCTGTTCCCTGTAACCCAGTGTACACTGTCTGCTGTGGAGTTTTTTTTTTTTATACAAGTTAACTGATGTATTGAATAAGAGAGATCGGCCCACAATTCGGGTGTACGAGAAGAAAACCCTTTTTACAGGGCTAAGAAATTACAATATTGCATAATAGAAAAGTAAACAAAGCTAGATAGGTATTCCCAGGGAAACAGATCCTCGAGCCCCTTCTTTGGCGAGGGAGTCTGCAATGGAGTTCACCTCTCTCCAAGTGTGCCTCCATATAATATGCACCTTCAAGCTTATGTCGACGATCTCGTCAAAAAAGGGGTCGAGCCTCCAGGGACACGGGGCTGATTTTGGAGGCCCTGGAGATGACATTGGCGGAGTCTCCTTCGATGATCAAAGATTTATCGGACTCTCTATTGTAACATCTTAAACCAACTAGAAGAGCCATCGCCCCAGCTAGGTTGGAGTCTTAGCAGCCGATGAAGTATACAAAGGAGAGAAGGGAAAGGCCTTTCACTATCGCGGAAAATCCCACCTACTTCCAATGGATCCGGGTTACCCATGGAGCACCCGTTAAAGTTAAACTTAATGAGGCCATGGGCGGGAGGGGACCAAGAGGAGGCCCAAGGGATATGGGAAGGCCTTAGGTGAAGTAAGGCCTTCTAGTTTTGGTGGTAGTTTTGGTGGAAATCCGCTAGGGAAAGATGCTTGAAGGGTTTAGAGTTGGTTGCCCAAAAAATGACTAGAGATCTCATCTTTTCCAGCAAGGTTTCAATGTTAGAAAACTCACCCCTAAAGATTCTTTGGTTCCTTTTTCCAAGCCACAAAGTCCAAATGATGGCGGCAATCGTGGCTCTCCATAAAAGAACACCTTACTTGGCCCGATGGGGCGACAGGTAGGAAGAGAAAAGGTCGGGTATGGACTGGGGTGTTGCTCAGTACCATCCAAAAAGGTTAAGGATGGAGTCCCTGAGATGGGAAGTAATCTAACAGTGCAAAAAGAGGTGGACGTTTGATTCAGATTCATTTTTACACATGATGGGGTGATTGGGCATTTGCGAATCCCTTCTTTGGAGATGGTCCACAGTTAGGACTCTTTCATGGGTAGCCGCCCAACATAAAAACTGGGTTTTTGGAGGAACCAAAGTTGCCCAGGCTTTAGCGGCAGGAGGGATAATGGGGGCCTGAGAATGGGGGGATGTGAGGAGAATTATGAAGGAGGAGAGTGAGAACATGCCTGCAGGGGAAGGGGTCCAAATTATCTTGTTGGGGCCCGAAGGTGGAAGTTAAAAAGACTGGATAAGGGCTTGCAAATTAAGAAAGGCAAGCATCTCAGAATCATTAGGGGGCCTTTTGAAAATAGCGGTCCAAACTCTGCCTCGGGAAGAGGACTCGAAGTTCTCAGCTAAAGAGGATTGAGAGTTGTGAGCCAAGCGGAATAGGGTAGGAAAGGACTCCCTGAGGGGGGCATGGCTAATCCATATGCCCCTCCAAAATGCAATTCTGGTTCCCTGTCTGGGTCGAAAGCAAATATTTGCAACAAAACGATTCTGGCACGAGAGGAGGCCCTTCCAAATAATTGAGGTATTGGAGGCCAAACAAAATCTCTGCAGCAATCCATTCAAAAGATATGACTTAGACAGCAAGCGAATCTTTTGAATGGATTGCTGTGGAGATTTTGTTTGGATGTCTGTTTCTATATGTTTTCAGTGAAGGATCCTGTAAAGTGTGTGTATAGTCTTAATCCTAGTCGGCAGTCGGCACACATTATAGGTACTAGTAAATTTTTAACATGTTTCTCTCCCACAATGAAGAAAATATATTGGGTCAGGGGCATATCTTGTTTGTCTACAATGTTGATTTATATTGCCCTAAACCTTAAATGAGACTGGATTGTTGTGTGGTTATATTGATAACTATCTGATAGATCATATCAGCATATCCAGACCTTGTTTTAGTATTTTATTCTAAACTCTAAATTACCTATTGGAAAAATTTACCTTCTTTGGTAAATAATTGGAAAATGTTATCTTTCTGTGCTCAGGTGAAAATGTTGGAAGCTCTTCAAGACATTGAGATAGCTTCTCGACTTGTTGGGTTTGATTCTGAAAATGATGAGTCGTTGGATGAAAAATACAAGAAGCTTTGTTGTGATGTTGCTCCACTGCCGCATGATAGCACTGACTATCAGATGGTGAAGAAATTTCTCCTCAACACCCATGCTCCTACTCATAAGGTGTGTGCTTTTCTACATATTATATTTTTGAACATGTTATTGTTTGACATATTGTGGTTATCAAGTTCTTGAGTTGGTTATCAGGATTGGACTCTTGAGGTAGAAGATGTGTTTGCACTTGAAAGAGATGGAGAATTTGACAAGTATGCTCCTTATAGAGACAACCTCAAAAATAAGATGCTACTTTGGCACGGTAATGGACATTGTGAAACTTGTGTGGCTTGATATGTGTGCCAATTGGGGTCATTTACTTCTTATGCATATTACCTACGTCACTGTAAGAGATTTTAGGATATCCATTTCAACCTCGAATATCTGAAGTTCTTAAATTTTTCGAGTGACATGCATTAAAAATTTCGTCAGCTTAGCAAAATTGTGACTTGATCTAGTTTAAAGTACTTGGATTTTTACTTTGTTATCCTTTCTTTTCTGTTGCTTGTCATTATGTTCATCATCTTCTAACTTAACTCTTTGGGGCAGTTTCATGGGCCCAAGCATAATTACTGTGGGTAAAAGTTAAAGTTGGTTCTCAGTGCAAGTTTTAGAAATCAGTTTTTGTTTTTTGCAGTTTTCTCTGTCAGACTAAGCGCATAATTTGCTTAATTATAATAATAGAAAAAAGATGTAACTTGAGTAATATACACAGCATGAATTTTCTCTTTGCCTCTTTATGTGTTTACCCTCCTTTTGTTTTATGTGCGTGTATTTGGCTTCAAGAATGTTTGACTTGTGTTTGTGAATTTTAAAGTACAATAATAAATGTGGGTTCCAAGTTATCCAATGTACCCCCAAGTCTTCTTCCCTTCGTTTTCCTTTTTTTCCCCTTTTCTCAGGATTTAGCACATATGATAACGAGCTTTGGCTGTTGATGGGGTACATTGGTTCAACTTTGAGATATTCTAAAGATGTAATACAGTATGCAACTTAAGACTTGGAGTGTAGAACTTTTAGCTTTCTCCTGGAACCTGCATATAATTCTAGCGTTTGTTGTGGCATTAAATACCTGAACAAATGAAAGCATATAATATAATTTTTTAATGTCAGGAATCAATATGGTTTGGAATGTTCTTAACTACTGTATGTTCACTAGATCAAAATAATAAATTTCAGATCTGTTGCATTGCTTTCATTTATTTGACTATGTAAACTCATTCACAGCATTCAGTTAGATTGGAAGGGCAAAAGTAAGAGATAAGGCCAACTGTTGGGGATTTTCCAGCAAACGGAGGTAGCAAGCTATGACAACAAGCATTTGTCTAAGTAAGGCATGCTTAAAGGAAGCATAATTGCTGGGATCAGGATGGGGACGCGGGTTTGTGACAGGCAGGAACCTACGATAGGGAACGTGGTCCATAACCCCTAAAATCTAGGGATCTCAATCCCAATATGTGGGAGAGCTCAATCAAAACTCAGATCGGGTTCGGATGATAAACTATATGGGACTGAGTTCCTTCTGGTTAAAAATTGAGGCCTCGGTAGCAATTGGCTAGTATAGCAGTATAGGATATACTACTATGCTATGCCGCACTACCATACAATAATATAATGCTAGGCCATACTAAAAACATACTATGCTATATAGTATATTCTACTATACTACACTATATTTTACTATATTTAAATTTAATATATACAGCCATACTGTACGACACTGTTAGACTATACTATCCTGCTTTACTTACTATAATGTTATACTATAGCACACTGCAATACTATACAATACTGTACTATATTACAGATACATTACAATACTAGGGAATCAGGATTCCCCTGTAACTCAGGGTCTTGATTCCTAATATGAAGAATCAGGATTATGATGTTTGAAAATTGTGAATGAGATTTCCTTCCCTAGAGAGCAAGAGCGAGATTCTAAAGAGGAGTTTTTTTTTGGGGAAAATATCTCCTTATCCTCTATTTTTGACTTCTATTTCCCATGAGACCCAAGGATTGAAAATATTACTTGTAAGCAAATGGTCATGTTTTCTATCTTACAACACCTTAGACCCCTTTGACCATGAAATTTTTACCCAAAAAAATACTAAAATGACACCCTCTCAAAACTCTTTTCTTTTCTGTTCACATCTATCTCTCAAAGCACCACTTCTCTCTCTCAAATCACCATTTCTCTCACAAAACTCCATCTCTCTCTCTCTAATATCCAAAGTTGCGAGAAGTTCCTCTCTCTGCATTGTCTCTCCCTCTCATTTTAGAGACATTTGAAGGTATTGTTGAAATGCCTGGAAACACTCAATCTGTGTTCCCTTCAATTTGGGGAAGACATCAATTTGGCTCAGGAGGAGCTTGGGTAAAATGCCTGCAACTGGTCTTCAAACTGGTTTGAAAAAGTTTGTGAAGGGGCATCTGTCTTGTTATAGATACCATCACAGGAAGGCTGCCTTGAACTGATAGAGAGAGAAGCGGCTCTCTCTATCTAAAGCCCCATCTAATGAGAGAGAAAATCCAATCTCTCTCTTCCCTTTTTGTACAAACCCTTCTTTTTTGCCGGGAAATACCTTGTTTTCGCTTGAAAACATGGACTGCTCCTTTTGTACCGGTAGTTTGCCCTAGAAAACGTTGGACTTAGCCGAAAAATTTGTGTTTGGCCATTTTTGGTAGTGAGTTTTCCTTTTGTGAGATGGGCGGCGTTAATTTCAGGGGTAGAGAGAGAAAGAGAGAGGTGGGTAGAGAGAGGAAGTGAGAGAGGGCTTGGTAGAGAGAGAAAGTTGCTCCTTTTTTACCGGCAGTTTACCTTGGAAACCGTTGGGCTTCGCCGGAAAATTCGTGTTTGGCCATTTTTGGTGGCGAGTTATTCTTTTGAGGGGGCGGCTTTAATTTCATGGGTAGAGAGAGAAAGAGAGACAGGTAGAGAGAGAAAGTGAGATGGCTGGTAGAGAGAGAGTGTTGCCATAATAACACGAGAGGTTGGCTAGATAATTTTTAGAGAGAGGAGAGAGAGACGATGTAGAGGGGAAATTCTCTACAATTTTGAGTATTAAAAAGAGAGAGAGAGAGAGAGAGATGGTGCTTTTAGAGAAAGACGTTAATGGAAAAGAAAAGAGTTTTGAGAGGGTATCATTTAGTGATTTTTTGGGTCAAAAATTCATGGTCAAAGGGATTCAGGGGGTTGTAAGATAGAAATGATGGAGACCTTTTGCTTGCAAATAATATTTTCAATCCTTGAGTCTCATGAGAAATAGAAGTAAAAAATAGGGAATAAGGAGATGTTTTCCCTTTTTTTATGTTGTTAACTGTTGTATTAAACGAAGGAAAAGGAGTACAATAGTTCGTCGAGAGGACTCACTGGCCGGGCCTCTCGGCAAAAATTAGGCCTCCCCAAAAAGGTAGCCCTATACAAAAATTGGTAAGGTTTATAACAAATGCCCAATGCAGAGTGTACAAAAGCGTAAGAAATCCAAAACCAAGGCAGTCCATCAGTCCTTTACAAGGAGGGCATTGAAACAAGAGTAATTCAAAAACTGATCCTCATGGACCTAAGGCACTTGAAGAGGCACCTGGAGAGTTGGCCTCTTGATTGGAAGATCCTGGTAACTATGAGAGGAATTATATATGGATGGCTCAGAAATTTAGACACACGGCTATTACTGGTGTGCATGATGATGTTGTCAGATTCGTTTCGGAGTCTTATTCGGTTTGGTGAGAAAAATGAAGCAAATCGGGGCTTCAGCTGATTCGAGGGGAGACTTCGGATTTTTTTTCAGTTTAATATAAATAAATTAGATATTTAAACATAAAATATATAAAAATAATTAAAAAAAAAAAAAAAAAAAATAACTTTTATATAGATATTTCTTTTCTGACCGAAGCAGGCCAAAGCTTTGGCCCAAACAGACCTGAAGAGATCCAAATCTGCCCGAAGCAGCCCTAAGCGACCCGAATCTGACCTAAGAGGCAGCACCATGCTTCTCTTCACTTCGGTTTATGCTTAACAACCGAAGGCTCCGAAGCGAAGCGAATTTGATAACATTGGCAAGGGTTAATAGGCAAGAAGTTTTGGGACTGTCATTCCTCTAGGAATCAAGTATGTCTGATTGAAAAATTGCAAACCTTAGATCCTGTATTGTATAACATTATGTTTTGTTAATTGTTTCATTTTGCAGTTCTGTTTCTCAAGCAATAGAATTGTACATTAATTGTTTATGCTCAATTTCTTTCTGTAGAACCTGATGTATTTTTCTTCTACTTCTTCACACACCTAGCTCTTTAACAATTTGTCCATTTCATAGTGTACTCTTTACACTTGATAAATGTCAAAACTTGTTCCATTGCTCAATAACCATCCGAAAGTTAGTAAAACTAAAAGTTACATTTTTTTTGCAAGGCTCTCGTTTGACAAATTTTGTTGGAATTCTGAGCCAAGGGCTGCGAATAGCACCCCCTGAGGCACCATCAACTGGCTATATGGTATTCTTCCCTCACCTTTCTTCTGTGGCTGCTCTTTGTCTCTCCCTCTCCCTCTCTCTGACGCATACACATTTCTTTAGAACAGGCTTCTTTAATTCCCTTTTTCATATGTAGTTTGGCAAGGGGGTCTACTTTGCTGACCTAGTGAGCAAGAGCGCGCAATACTGTTATACTGACAAGAAAGACGCCGTGGGCCTACTGCTGCTTAGCGAAGTTGCCTTGGGAGAGATGTATGAGCTTAAGAAAGCCAAGGTGAGTATGGGAAGTTATGTTAGTTTAATAAATTCTGTGTTTTCACGTTCTTTTTAGATACTGAATTATAAGCTTGCCCATCAATTTACTTATTTTGAATGTTTGAGCACCATAAATAATCATTATTTTCCTTTGGAAAAGGGGAAAAGTATCAAAATGGTGCCCGGATAACCTGCATGAATCATGCGGGTGAGATCGAAGCTGACTTGGGCCGTTCAGTTTTTTGGAACATCACAATTTCACCGCTAATTCGATATTTTTGGAATACTTGATTACTTTTTCTTGAATACTCATCCCACGGTAATACTGTTAGTTTTAAAAAAATGCAGCCCAGAATTTATTCTGGCATTTCATGTTTCTGGAACACATGTGCTAGCACTGATTTGATATTTCTCTCTCAACACTATCCACCAAGTTTATGGCTTATCTTATTTTTATATTTTGTTGTGACTATTCAGTACATGGAGAGTCCACCTGAAGGGAAGCATTCAACTAAAGGCCTTGGCCAGAAAACACCAAATGCTTTGGAGTTTGAGAAATGGCGCGATGAAATTACTGTTCCTTGTGGGTCCCCAGTTTCATCAGGAGTTCGAGCCACAGAGCTAATGTATAACGAGTATATTGTGTACAACACAGCACAGGTTCGTTGTTTCTCCTCATGGTTCCTTGGAACTATAAAAAAAGGGAAATCATGTTGGTATTCATATACGAGATCATGGTTTTCTTTTTTTTTTTGTTGAAATTGCCCACATTTTTCCTTCTCATTATTTGGAATGAAATTTAGTCAGATTTCATAAATCTGCTTTAAGTCGTCGGTGTGGTTTGTATAAGGCTGAGGCCCTAAACAATCAAAGTAAGGGCTCACTTTCACATAGTATTTAAAGACTTCGTTTCAGTATTTAAAGACTTCGTTTCACATAGTATTTAAAGACTTCGTTTCAGTACCTGAAAATTTATTTTATCTTCAATTATAAAATTTAAAGCTTAAAAAATAGGGTAGATCAAGCAATTCTATTAAAAGCTTAAAAATCCACAGTCTAGATAATGCATTACAAGATGCACTATTTTAAAGCAAATTTTTTTTTTTTTAACGTCTATATATATCAAGTTCGAGATGATCGGATTTTGAAGGTTTTTTCGTCCCTTTTGATTACCAATGCTTTATGCAGTATTTTGTTCATAAACCCATGGAAAGTGAAGAAAACTACCCCTGAATCCATAATGGTTTGAAAAGGCTTTGGAATCAGTCTGGCACGGCAGTCGTAGCCTTCTAAACATTGCACGGAACTTTCGTGTTATCTCGTTTTTACCCATTTATTCATTCATTTTTTTCATGTTTGATTTTATTTTTTGCACAGGTTAAGATGCAGTTCTTGCTCAAGGTGAGATTCCACCACAAGAGATGAGGTCACTGACTGCATACGACTTCACTTTTGTACAGCTTTTTTGCTTTGTTGGGGGCCATAATTTTGCATATAACTTGTTCTTGGTCCTTGTTCTTCTTGTTCCCAAACCAACACAGATGAGCTCTTGGGTATATGCAGAAAGTTAAGTTCGCATCCACGGTTAAAAGTTTTGGAGTGAATATTTTGGGTTGTGTAAGCTCTTTTTGAGGATATGAAGCATGCGTTTTCTGATTAAAAAAAAAAATTAAGGGAAAGTTTTTGACGTACCACCGATTTGTATTCCAACTCTATGCTAATCCCTCAATTTTTTTTTTATTTTTCTGACTGCTTGTTAGAAATATCAACGAACCCCCCATCCCCCCCCCACCCCCTCACTTTTTTACCTAGAAATTTTGGATGGGGTGAGAATCAGAGTATAAGATGGATTGGGTGGCAAAGATGTCTGTCATTGTCTGGGGTGGCAATTGGCCGGGCTTGGCCCCTAGCCCTAGTCCTTACTGTGCCCGCTCAAGACTGGCCTATGGCCCTATCATGGCTGGGCAGGGCCAAATACAATAAAGTAAATAAAAGAAAAACTGTAAGAAATGGAGGTGGGGCTGGGCCGAACTAGGCTGGCCTTGTTACGAGCCTAGCCTAGGTCCTGTCTGCCTTTGTCCTCAGGTTGTGGTGGCCCAGCCTTATTTGCTAACAAAAGCCCTAGTTTTTTAGCAAATACCTTAGTTTTTTAGGGTTGATCCAGGTCAACCGGTGCCATTCACATTGCAAGTATTTTTTTTTTTGGTAATTCAGTGGGAAAGATATGCCCATACCCTTTTTTTCAAACCAAATACCTGTTTTTCTAAATTGTTTAGGAGTTTTTTTTTTTTTGAAGGTGTTAATGTAGTAGTGTCAATAGGAATGGAAATTACAATATGGTGAATGGGGTGTGGGGTTGCGATCACCCACATTGCAATTAAATTGGTTAGGAATGGAAACCACAATGTGGGGTGTGGGGTTGGTACCACACATTGCAAATAAATTGGTCTACTAACACTGGTGGTATTCTAGCATGCAGAGAGAGAGAGAGAGACCGGAATCCAAATATCATGCAATTTACTGAGGAAAGCTTGGCATATGTATTAGTCAAAGATTATATGTTTATGGGGGTATATGATTCCTTGAGTAAGAACCCCATCTGTGAGTATACTTATTTAATGCTTGTACTTTGCGCATGTGTTAAAGTACATTAAGCATGAAATGAAAAATATAAATTCTCTTAACTTCAAAGAATACAAGAGTAACGAATAATCGTACATGTGACAGTGTAGTTGTTGATTGGTAAAAGATCCTAATATCCCTCTAAAGAATCGAGACCTCTATCTGGCTCTCTCTTAAAACTATTTTCAGCTGGAAGATTTCTATGAATTTAGAGGTTACTTGTCTTGAGTAAACATCCTCTACAATTCTTGTTCTCGTGGTGATGTATCCGCTGCATCTAATTAATTTGTTTTCATGAAAGGTCCTCTATCCGTAGTAAGAATGGAATACGAGACATGATACATTCACCCTGACCAACCATTCCTTCAACCCATTCTTATATCTCATTGATTTGAATTAGAAGCTATGTAGTTGAGTTTCAATTAGAGAGAGAATATAATAAAACATAAGAGTTGGATGGGAATCAGATAAGGTCCACAGTACCCTATCAACAAGCCTATCCAAAAACCCTAAATCCTGTCCTCTATGGTGGCCTTGTAAACTACTATACATATATAAACTTTATGATATGAAATATTGTTCTCGAATTTTATTTAGTTGGTCTAATAGGTCAAATTAACTGGTTCAATTGGCTAAAATCAAATGCTGATTTTGATCGATTCAGCCAAACAAATTTTATGTCTGGTTAAGGTACCAATCAGCAATTTGACTTGTTAGACAAGTGGGTCCAAGTGGGTCCAATCCGGTCCTGATAATTAGACTCCAGATGATTTCTTTGGATCACTTGCTCCAATCCCTCGAACCGAACTGGTTTCATTTACAATGAATAGTAATTTCCTTGCCTTGATGGTGGCTCAATATACCGAGATGGATAAATCTAATGTCTATAATATGTGAATTACGATACACATCATCTGTTCATGCTGTGGTTCATCCATGGATTCTCAAAATGGATATTTAAGATGTGATATGTGTTGTATAAACATCATTTGTATGCTTTCCCATTACACATGTTCACCTGTTATTGCCAAAAGGCTGATTGTGATTAATCGTAGCCGTCTCCCCACAAATCCAATGGTCACTAGGGCAGCAGCAGTGGGTAAAAAATGAGCAAAAAATGTTAGAAATTGTGGATTTTGGTCCTTGTCAGTTTTGTTGATTTAGTAAAAAAAATGATGGAGAGAGGTGGAACCCACCATTAAGGGCGTGTCGTGTTCTCGTGGGGCCGCCATGTAACTTTGGTTTTTGTGAGACCACATACATATGTTTAGGGATAAAATATTGTTAATTTATTTAAAAAACAAGCTTATAATGATTCATTGGACTGAAAGAGGCATAGTTCATTGGGTCATTACCGTCCATTCAATGGAGAGATTGGGACCGACAATTTGAGAGAGTCCCATGTTTTGTTCTATGGGTCCTGCTCAATTTCCATCACCGTCCGATGATGGAACAGTCGATTGGAATATTATTATATCCCTTTGATTGCTTTGGCTTATTGTAACCGTTTTGGACGTTCCTTTAAATCTAGTTTTGTGTGTGTTAGAGAGAGAAGCTATATGCCCCCATAACAATTACACAAACGATAAAAAATACTTACCTTTGATGCTCCATGCACCACTAATCCCTGGTCAAACTATCTCAATCCAAAAATTTTAAAGAAGAACACTACATTAAACTGGACAAAATAACTAGTTAATATACAAACAAAGAAACCAGGAATAAAAAAATAAATAAATAAAAATAAAGAGAGAGAAGTGAGTTTTTAAGGGGGGAGGTGTGAGGGGTGGGTGGATAGTGTTAGCGAGAGTGTGTTGGCAAGAAACAAGTCCCACAGTGCGGCGTTCGGCGGAGAAAAGTGGTTTGAAAATGAAAACAAAGTCCTTTTTGTTTTGTTTCATTAAACACCACACTTGAACCAAACCCCCTTATTAAATATGAGCACCAATTAAAAGTGTCCCCTTAGCCCCCAACAACCCAACCTTCCATGTCCCCCCTCCCCACCCTCTATAAGGCACTCTGTCCCACAACCCCTCTCTCTCTTCCACTTCCAATCTTTTCCTCTCTCTTTACTGCTAATCTCACTCTACAAGTGTGTTTGTTGCTCTCTCTCTCTCTCTCTCTAAATTTTTGGTGTGAAGTTTTTTTGTTTCTCTCTTGAGTGTAGTTGGTATCTCTCCCCCCCCCCCCCTTCCTTTCCTTTCTCTCCTCCCCTTGTGGCCTTGGCCATGGCTGGGTCAGGGTCCATTTCAGGCTCCGGCTCCGGCTCCGGCTCCGGCTCCGGCTCCCCTTGTGGTGCATGCAAATTCCTCAGGCGAAAGTGCGCCGCGGATTGCATATTTGCCCCTTACTTTTGCTCGGAGCAGGGGGCCACCCGCTTCGCTGCGGTGCACAAAGTGTTTGGCGCGAGCAATGTCTCCAAATTGCTGTCGCAAGTTCCCCAGGCCGACCGCTCCGAGGCTGTGGTCACCATTTCCTACGAGGCGCAAGCACGCATCAAGGACCCCGTCTATGGATGCGTCGCACACATCTTTTCTCTCCAACAGCAGGTTTGTTAACTCCCCCGATTCTCGAAACTCTGGCTGGTCATGCATGTTCGAGAGAGAGAGACAATATGTCTTGGGTGGTGAATGGTCCCAACAAATATCATGTTTAGCCTTTGTTATGTTAATTTATGAGATGTTTACTGTGGTGCTAAATTTATGAAGTTCAATTTTATTCTCAGGTGGCAAGCTTGCAATCTCAATTGATGCAAGTGAAGGCACAATTGGCCTGTAAATTGGCTGGCTCCCAAGCCACAAATTCCCAATGGGTGAGAGACACATCCCATCAATGCTATCATGTGCCCATAGAGAGCCAATGGATGAACAACACATCAGACAATGCACAACCATGCCATCCATACATACATCCACCCCATGGGTTAATGCCATCCATGATGCAACCAAATGAATGCAGCCATCAAAAGATGCGGAGTGATGACCATTACATATTTGAGGAGTCCATGTCCCCAAAGAGCTCTGTTGATGATGTAGACCATGATGGGGATGACTCACCTTCACTTCACCATAAGGCATGGTTTAACAGAGACCATGACCATACATTGCAACCATGTTCAAGGAAGAGTTTTCAATGCAATGATTTGGGGGAGCTTCAAGCTTTGGCACTTAGGATGATGAGAAGCTGATGAACTTCCCTTTATCATTTTCACCACTTGTGTATTGTACAAAAGAAGTTTTGCCATTCATATGTAAGACAAAAGTTGTCATGCAAAAAGGGAATGGTTATGCATAGCTCTTGTTTTAGTGGTATTTTCATGTGCCTTTTCCTTGAATCTCTCTCAGTGTTTCATGCAAATTTACATCAAATGGGTGTCTTTTAAATGGTTCCAAGGGGTTTAGCTTACGCAGTTTTTGCATTAATTTCCTTTGAACTTTTCTTCAAGTACCATTAATGGCTCTTCCTACTTACTACTGATATGTATGGTGAGAGGCATTTGACCAACAAGGACTAGCCCTTATGGTGGCAAGTAACTGTTTCTCCAAAATGGGATAAAGGAGTAGAACTATGTGTGTGCATTGTTGAGAAATTAGGCAGGTTTTTTCATCCATGGACCATAGAAGGTCTGCTTGCTTTCTTCAAAGAGGATGGATGTTTTAGATATTCAAGCTAAGGTGAAGGTAATTAAGCACTTCAAAAAAAAACATTAAACCTAGGTTTATAAAGTTAAGAACTAATGCAACACTAGTTTTGAGTGTTGCATACTTTCTCCATTATTTAATTACATGATAGTTTAACCTTTCCAAAATTGAATGGTCAATTCTGCTTTCCATTCTTTTAAGTTCCCAAGCAATTGATACTCATTATTGGGATCAATTTGTCCAAGGACATGGATTAGTCAATTTAATATTAGTTTAAAAGAAAACCATCTTGGGTTCTGGTGTGATTAAGACATTAAACAGCATATTTCTTTTTCTAATGGATGCATCTATTGACCATAAAGAACTTACAAATGGTAACTCTGGAGGACCCAAATTCTAGAAGGGTTATAAAGATGAATCACAGACATGCATAATGGGGAAAATTAGGTATACCAACTTTCAAGGCCAAAAGGTGGAAGATTTGAGTCAATTTGGTGGTATTAAGTTATCTACTTGGTTTGCTTTCCCAAGTTCCTTTGGCATTAGTGCACTTTTAGCTATTGTAAACCATTTAGTGTATTGCCAAGAGAGAGAACTAATGACTAAAATATGTGTACACTCAATTTCCATGTCTGCCATGACTAAGAAACAAAGTATCAAAGGATAGATCCTTGTTAAAAAATTTACTCAAAGTTCACTCAATCATGGCTTCTCTTGCAACCATGAAACCAATAATCTCTAAAAATTCTCTCTGGATGTAAGCCACCATATGTCCAATAGCTCTCTCTCTCTCACCTGTGTGTGTGCAGCTTTTTCTTCCTTTTCTTGGTAGTCTGCGATGTCTGTCAGTGTAGATTGAAGAATGAGATAAACAAACATGCCCATGATTCAATCTTCAGCACACGAGGGGCTTAGGATTCTTCCTTATTTTTCTATGCTTGTGATTGCAATTTTAAATAGACGGATCCGATCGACAAAAAACCCTAGAATTAGGCATATCTTGACCATCCACTGAACCTAGTATGCACTCAATATCATAGAATAGATTAACAAACTCTGTATGCCCATGGCTTGGCAAGATGTTTCATTGATTGGGAGCACATGATCACATCAAGGTTGCTTGTACCCCATCTTTTTTTATCTATTAATGGCCTTTGTGCATTCTTTTTCTCCATAAAAGTTGAGCAATAAGCAATATGTTAAAGGAATACACAATGAGTCATGAAAGAAAGGTCATAGGATGGGATTTCCAAGAAGGAGGCTGCCCCACTCTTTTCTTGGGGTACAAAAATTAGAACTGTATAAATAATTATTGTATGACACCTAAGGGAATGAGCCCTAGGGTTCAAGTATCATTATTCTACATGATATGCGTATTCAAAAGCTTCAAAATTCTAACAATGCTTATTATTTTATGTAGGATGAATTTTCTATAGGGACTAGGCTTTATGAAGACAAAATAAACACTCACGTCAAATCTTCGACTGGAAAGCACTTTCGACAACGGAAAAGATTTAAATTAATTTCCAACACCGATAATAAAATTTGAAATTCAAAAAGTATTACAGATCTCGTGGATCTATAAAAACTTAATTTTATGGCGAAATTGACCTTCTAGATAATTTGTGATAATTTACACGATTTTTCGAGCTTAAAATGCCAATTTTGTTTTACAACTAATTTGTTCAAGCCGAGATGATCGATGTAAAGGTTTTCCAATGCTTGAAGTGTAATTTCTGATGAATTATGAGGTGAGGCTTTACTATCAAACCATTTTCCTCTTATATATTGATATGTCATCTCAAAATTTCCTTTTATATATTGATATGACATCTCAAAAGTTTAGAAACCCCAAAAACAAAAGTGGTGAAGTGTGATCAAGGAACACATTACAACTTTTTTCTTTTCTTTGTTGGCTTTGCACTAGCAATCAAAAAGAGCTGCAATGAAAGCCAAACCCTAAGGGTGGGTCCACCAGCACTTGCCAGTTACAGCCTCCCTTGCTAAAGTCTACATCTTCCTAACTTTTGCATTGAGATCAGAGTAATATGTTCCAAAGTGAACCTAAGACTCAGTGTTCATACACACGAGTGTACTCATCCAAGCATTAATCTTTTGGAGTTCTTGAATTTTGAGCTGCCACACTATGGCACAAATTAGTTAATAAACCATTTACAAAATTTGTTATAGAAGTTACTATGTAAGTCCTTATAAGCATCACAAGAGGACTTGAACAGTAAGTGTTATCAAGGTTGGACTGGGACCGGAGGTTTGGACCGTTGGCAAGTGCAAATGGAATGGTGCAAAGCAAAAAACATATTTATCAAAAAGTCTTTAAAACCACTATTCTTTTTTTTTTCTGAAACTATTCATGAAATTTCATTGAGAAAATGAAAATGAGATCAATGTTATGTTAGATTAACCCATTTTGTATGGTTAGACAAACAATACAAGGTTGGGCAATTTTTCTTTTCAGATATATTTTATGATTTAAACTATTCTTCTTTTGTTTTTTTACTTTTAGAAAATACTTTCCTACTGGTGGTTGGATCAGTTTTGACTTGATCAGAACTTAATTAGTTCAGTAGTGGTGAATGGGATTTTGATAACGTTGGTTAGACCTTAATTAGTTCAGTAGTGGCGAATGGGATTCTGATAACGTTGGTTAGACCTTAATTAGTTCAGTAGTGGCCAATGGGATTCTAATAACATTGGTTAGACCTTAATTCGTTCAGTAGTGGCCAATGGGATTCTGATAACATTGGTTATCATTGAATTCATGTGGCTCTCTCATATAAATGCATACACAAAACCTTTTACATTTCTTTTATTTGAATCACACCTGCAATTTTACATAAGGAAAAAGTTTATATAAGCTGTCAA